AATAAGAGGACCCGTAGCCATTTTAAGAATTTATATCATATATATCTCTGCTGATAGCATTTGATCCATTCAGCAAGAGTTACATGAGTGGCAGAAAATAATGAGGTGGAACATCATCCAGAAGCACTTTTATATGTAAGATATTATAGTACCTGCATAATGCGTCTCGGTTAGCTTTTTCATTAAATCATGAGAAGTTTTTTCCCAGGGTAAATTTCTTAGAAGTTTCTTCAAGGACATAAATTGGCTGGGAGGAAAGCCTTCCAGAAATGAAACTACAACTGCACAAACTGGACTCCAAGCAAATGGGGACTTCCAGCAACACAAAATACCACTTTATACCCTGAATTGTTCTTTGCAGAAATATTAATATGGGTAAAAATCTATCATTATTACTTTTTGTCTTAATATTGTGTTTTATTCTCAGCATTTCTCCTGAATATATATATATATATTAGAAGAGTCAAAAAGGAATTACAACAATTGGTATACAATATCTTGTACTATATGATTATTTTGTTTGCATTTTCTCTTAATTCTATAAATGTCTCCCAAAGGTGCTTTTTTTCAAGAGGCAACAGGACCTTCTTGTATTTCACTTCTCATCCAAGAAGCTTCTTCAGCTCTGACTGGATGGTGGGTGTTAAGTCTGGGCGGTGGGTCCCAAGGAGAGACGAGACTCGAAATAGTGACAACAGCTCTTTATTAGGAAACCAGATACTGAGACAAGACTCCCAGCCGAGGCAGATCCTTTTATAGAGCTGGCTGTGGCTAGGCAGCCTATGACATGCATTTGAGCTTGCCGCGCTTGGTTTTACCCAATCGCGGCAGCCGAATAAGAACCAATCAGAATGCTTAGTTTTGTCCAATCATGGCCCGGCTTTTCCGGACCAATAGGAATGCAGGCCTACAAGCCTGCTAGTATGGAACACCCCTCCCCTCTTGGTTCCGTCCAAGGGGCGGGGTAATGTAATCATGCAAGTAGGCGGGTCTTCGTACCTGCCTACTAGACTTGCGCAGTTCACAGTGTCTCTGTTCACCATCGGGTTCGGATGGGCTCTGCGTCGCTCTCAAGCTGCAAGATGGAACTGCCTGGAAGGGTGAGCCGGTCCTCTGGCGGCGACTCCCGCCTGGTGATTCCAGTTCGGTTGAGTCGTTTGCTCTGCTGCTCCCTCCTGGGCTCTCTGGGCTGGTGGAGCTTGTCCGGCCGCTGCTTCCAGGCAAAATGCCCGTCTGCCACGACTCCCTTCTGGCTGATAAGTATTGTTGGTTTTTGTTTAATGTCTGTGGGGGGTGTTCTACTTGTACAGATGTTCGTTCATTTTCTGAATTTGAGGTCCCCCCCCTCTGATTTCTTGGTTAGAGTCTATGAGGGGGGAAGTGCCAGCCTGGATCTTAGCTGGTCAATATGATGTTTCCACGACCTCCCATCGGTGGTCTCAAGCCAGTAGGAGCGGGGGCCTGTGACTTGGGTGATTTTTGCAGGGATCCAAAGTGGGTCCCCTGTAAAGTTTTTGGCAAATACAGTGTCTCCTACCTTGAAGGCGCGGTCCTTGCTGCTGGAACCAAGGGGTTTTTCTGGAGTGTAAGCAGGGTACAGGCGGTCTAGAGGTGACCTGAGTCTTTGATAGCTCTGCTGGGCTCTTGTTGGTGGTAGCATTTGGTGTAATATGTTGTAGAAGAAGCATCCTGGTGATCTTCTCGTGGATGTTGCCATGTTCCATTTTGTGCAGAGTTTTTTTTGTAAATTGAACCATGCGTTCAACTCTACCATTCGCCACCGGGTAAGCTGGCGATGTCAATGCGTGTCGGATGCCACGGTCTGCCAAGTATTGTTCAAAAACTAAGGCGGTAAATTGTGGCCCATTGTCAGAAACGATAACATCTGGCAGACCATGCATTGCAAAAAGTCTATTTAATTTCTTGATGACAGCTTCTGTCATGGTTGTCTTCATTGTGCTCACCTCGAGCCAATTTGAATGGGCATCAACAGTGATTAAGAAGGTGTGCCCCTTGGTTGGCCCTGCGAAGTCAATATGGATGCGCGACCAAGGGCCTCTGGGTGTTTCCCATTCTAATGGTGGGGCCTTAGGGGGAGCCGAGTGAGTCTCTTGGCATCTGTTACAAGCGGCGACCCAGGTTTCAATTTGCTTGTCCATGCCTGGCCACCAAGCGTAGCTCCTGGCCAGGGCTTTCATGTGCACAATACCAGGGTGCCCGTCATGCAGCAAGTCTAAAACTTTTTTCTGTAGTGTCTCTGGTATTACTACCTGGTCTCCCCACAACACGCAGCCTTTTTGCGAAAAGAGTTCAGTTTGCCAGTTTTTAAACAGTTTAATATGTTCATTTGGCTCGGTTTCTGCTCATCCCCTCTCCACCCAGCTGAGAACTCGCACCAAGCATCTGTCCTTCCTAGTTTCGTGGGCGATGTCTTGTGCGGTTACTGGTGGAATGGGGATTGTTTCAATTTGCAAGACTGGTAATGTGGGTGCTGGGTCCTCTTGCAAGTCTGGCAAGGGGGAGCGGCTTAAGGCATCGGCGTGCGAGATTGTCTTGCCAAGGCGATGTATCAATTTGTATTTATAAGCAGCAAGAAATTCAGACCATCTTGTCATTCTAGGTGACAAGATGTGTGGAGTGGGTTTGTCACCCGCCAATATGCCAAGTAGGGGCTTATGGTCTGTAATAATGGAAAATGCCCTACCATAAATGTATTCGTGGAATCTCTTTACTGCTGAAACAATGGCGAGGGCTTCTTTGTCCAGCTGGCTTTAGTTCCTCTCGGGCTTGGTCAATGTTTTGGAAAAGAATGCAACGGGGGCTTTCGTTCCATTTGGTAAAACGTGGCTCAGGATGGCGCCAACCCCAAAAGGCGATGCGTCGCAAGTAACAGTCAGAGGTAGCGTTTCATTGTATTGCATGAGGACTGCGTCTGAAGTCAAAAGGTTTTTTATCTGGTGAAAAGCGTGCTCTTCTCGCCATCCCCATATCCAGGAAGCCTTTTTATCAAGGAGTCTATGCAGAGGTTCTGCAACAGTTGCTTTCTGGGGTAGAAAAATGTTATAGAAATTAATGAGTCCGAGGAAGGCTTGGAGGTCCGTTTTGTTCTTTGGTCTGGGGGGCGTTTTTAATGGCTTTCAATTTTTTATCTGTGGGGTGAATTCCTTGTTTGTCAAGGAGGTAGCCAAGAAATTCAACCCTTTCAGTGCATAATTGGCAATTTTCCTTTTTCACCTTGAGGCCAGCGTCTTTGAATTTCTGTAGGACCGCCCTCAGTCGTTTTTCCAATTGTTTTTTGGTAGGGGCTGCTACCAGGATGTCGTCGAAATAGGGCACGACTCCTTTAATTCCCTGCAACAATCTCTCCATTAGACTTTGAAAAATGCCTGGTGCGACGCTGACCCCAACCTGGAGCCGGTTACATTTGAACGCCCCTCTATGTGTCACTATTGTTTGGGCTTTGGTGGTTTCAGCATCGACTGGCAGTTGTTGATAAGCTTGGGCCAGGTCGAGCTTTGCAAAGAACTTGCCACCCCCTAGTGAGTGCAGGAGATGTTGGACTACTGGCACCGGGTAGGCGCTCTGCTGCAATGCGTGGTTGAGGGTGGCCTTGTAGTCACCACAAATTCTCAAGGAGCCATCGGGTTTGATGGGGGTGACAATTGGGGTCTCCCAACGGGCATGATCAATGGGTTCTAACATGCCTTGCGCTATTAGTTTGTCTAATTGTTCATTTATTTTAGGCTTGAGTGCAAAAGGCACTTGGCGCGGCTTGAGACAGATGGGAGCAATGTCAGGGCTGAGATTAAAGGAGATAGGGGACCCCTCGTACTTGCCTAGATGTTCACTGAAGACTTCTTGGAAGTCCTGGATGAGCGTTGTTTCCCAGTTTCCATTTTCTGTGTGGTTGATGCCTGCCATCTCGATCTCCAACAGTGCGAACCACTGCAACCCGAGTAGGCTGGGTCTGTCTTTATCGATGATTGTGAGTGGTAGGATGGTGGTGTGGTTTCTGAACGAGACTTGAAAATGTCCAGTGTCAACGACCGGAATGCGATTACCTTGATAGTCTCTTAATATTAGCTTCTGGTCGCTAAGCTCTTGGCGGCGGATGCTGGGAATTAGTCTTTTGATGGTCCTCCAGGAGACCATAGAGAGGGAGGAACCGGAGTCTACCTCCATGGTGCAAGGCTGATTTTCGATGTTGACCTCTACACGTATCTTTCATGCGTCTATTGATGAAGCGTGGCCAATGGTGACTGTTTGGTGCGTTTCTTCTCTTCTGGGTGCCGCGATGAACTTCCTGGGTTGGCTGTCCCAGTTCCATTGGCTGTCATTATGGCGGTCCGGGTTTATGGTGGGGTGCCATCTCTTCTTCTTGGCCTGTTTCCCCATCGTTGGGGGCTGGGATTTCGTTTGTTATGGCATACTTTGGCAATATGCCCTCGTTTTTTTGCAAAAAAGGCAAACAGCGTCCAGGAACTTGCATTCGGAACGCGGGTGATTTCCTCCACAGCCGGCACATTGGGAACTCGACTTACGACCCCGCCGGTCTCATCGCTCGTGTTCTGACTGAAGTCTGTGAATTCTTCCTCTTCACTGTCAGAGGAGGATTCAATGTCGCAGTGGTGGGTGGATGCTGTGTGTTTGTCTGCTGTGGTTGCCGTCTCCCTGGTGGGTTGGCGGTCGTTTCTGTTTGAACACCGCATTCGTGCCACTGACTTACGGGTGGCCTCGGCTGCGGTGGTTTCGGCTACGGCGTCGGCGAGGGTGATGTCTCCTTTAGCCATCAGTCTGCTCTGGAGAGTTGGGTCTTTCAGGCCAAGGACAACTCGATCACGCATGGCCTCGTCTAGATTGGTGAATCCGCACAAGCCTCCTAGGTCCCTCAGGTCGGCTACGAACTCTCCAATGCTCTCGCCCTCGTGCTGATCCCTCTGGTAAAAGTCATGCCGATGGATGAGAATCAGCACCACTGGGGCGTAGTGGTTCCGGAGGATGGGAACTAGGGATCCATGGTCTAGATGTCTGTTGGCTTCGCGAGCACCTTGGCCATTTTAAAAACGGTGGGTCCACAGTGTGTTAGAAAAACCGCTTGCTTCTTGCTGCCGGTGGCGTCCTTCAGGTTGTTTGATTCCAAGAACATTTGGAAAGGATCAATGTAGGACTCCCAGTCCTCGCTGGCCGGATTGAATGGCGCGGGTGGCACGGCGCTGCTGGCCATCTTGCAGGTCGTCTATGCACTCTCTGCCACGTGTTAGTCAGCTCTGTTGTCTCAGTATCCACCCTCATTGCCAGTGTTAAGTCTGGGCGGTGGGTCCCAAGGAGAGACGAGACTCGAAATAGTGACAACAGCTCTTTATTAGGAAACCAGATACTGAGACAAGACTCCCAGCCGAGGCAGATCCTTTTATAGAGCTGGCTGTGGCTAGGCAGCCTATGACATGCATTTGAGCTTGCCACGCTTGGTTTTACCCAATCACGGCAGCCGAATAAGAACCAATCAGAACACTTAGTTTTGTCCAATCACGGCCCAGCTTTTCCGGACCAATATGCAGGCCTACAAGCCTGCTAGTATGGAACAGTGGGGAATTGTAGGATTTATATTCCTTGCAGACAGCTGGTTATTGACATTCTTTTAGAGATTCATTGAGGCCACTTGGAGATTTATCTGTGTTCTCAGGGTCAAATAGGTGTTTAACTGCTACAAGGACTGTGTTGTAAACTGGAGATAGTTGATCTCATATTCCAATAGTAATTCTGTCTCTCCCTTTGTCTTTCCCTCCCAATCTTTTGATTTAGCTATTGTCTTACTTCAAATATAACAAAATGGGCTATATTTGAAATAAGTGGAAGTGTTTCTTACTTTTCTTTTAAATGTGTTGCATTTCCTAAAGTACTAAGATTGAAAAAACATCCAAGATACTGCCTACATTTAACAAAATCAATTGCACCTTATTGGAGCTTTCTTTCTGAGAGTACAATAAATACAAACAACATTCACTTTTGTGTATCAAAATTAAAGCTAACTTCAAGGAGACTCAATAGAATTTTATCACACATGATTAATTTGTCCTTAGGATAGAATGTATCATCTTGTGAGAAGTATGACTGACTAAATCATTAATAGGAATAACAATCCTGATACACACTGTGGAAATAACTTTATATACACCTGATATTCAGAGAGCAGCATTTGAGACAACAAATGGTCAAAATTGGGAGTGTCCTATCAAATTCTGTACCTGCAATAGTGGTGTCCCCCAAGGCAGTGTTCTAGGACCAACTCTCTTCATACTCTACATAAATGACCTCTGTGATCATATTAAGAGCAACTGCGTTCTTTTCGCTGATGATGTAAAGCTGTTCAGTTCCACATACTGCTACCCTTCAAAAAGATCTTGACTATGTATCAGAATGGTCAAGCTAATGGCAACTTCAAATCTCAACAAATAAATGCAAAAAAAAATCAGAAAATAAAATACAAGCTGAATAGTCAAGATCTTGTTGATGATCCAAGCTCTGTAAAGGACCTTGGAATACTCACCTCTAATGATCTAAGTGCTAGAGCCCACTGCAACTACATAGACAAAAAGGCATTAAGAGTTGTTAACCTAATCCTACATAGCTTTTTCTCTGGTAATATCACACTACTAACTATAGCATACAAAACATTTGCTAGACCAATAGTCGAATACAGCTCATCAGTCTGGAACTCACATTACGTATCTGATATTAGCACAATTGAGAAAGTCCAGAAATATTTCACAGGAAGAGTTCTCCACTCCTCTACTCATTGTAGAATACTTTATGCCACCAGACTTGAAATTCTAGACCTAGAAAACCTTGAATTACGCTGTCTTCGGTCTGATTTAAGCATGGTATATAAAATCATACATTGCAATGTCCTACCTGTCAATGAATACTTCAGCTTCAACCATAACAACACAAGAACACACAATAGATACAAACTCAAGGTAAATTGCACCAAACTTGATTGCAGGAAATACGACTGAGGTGTCACATTCAAAGCAGTAAAAGGGGGGAAACCTATGCTTGTTTCTTTATTTTTAGTGTTAAAATTTGTATTAATCTAGAATTTATAGGAAGAATGTGTGATGGAAAGAAAATATAACATATTAAAGAACTATTTAAATTAATAAGCTAATACAGACTATTAAAGGAAGGAGAGACATTGGGAACTTTTTTTTAAATTAGATAAATATATATTGTTATTTTTTGTTTTTAAAATAAATATCAAAGGATTATATTTGAAATAATTGAAATGAAATGAAAGGATGTTTGGATTGAGATTAATCAAAGAGACTAGGATTAAATTGTTTGTTTCTCTCTTTTCTGAAAGTTTGGAATGGAAAAGTTAATAGTAGAATTAAGTATGCATATATGAATGTATAGCTATTTTCATATTTGTTTGTAAAAGTGATGGGCCGGAAATATCTTGTCCACTAAAAAGAGCTTTTTGTTTTTATGTGAAAAACTGAATAAAGTTTGTTTAAAAAAAACACATTTGCTAGATCAATACTCTAATACAGCTCATCAGTCTGGAACCCACATTATGTATCTGATATTAGTACAGTTGAGAAAATCCAGAAATATTTCACAAGAAGAGTTTTCCACTCCTCTACTCATTGTAGAATACTTTATGCCACCAGACTTGAAATTCTAGACCTAGAAAACCTTGATTTATGCCATCTTCGGTCTGATCTAAGTATGGTATATAAAATCATACATTGCAATGTCCTACCTGTCAATGAATACTTCAGCTTCAACCATAACAACACAAGAGCACACAATAGATACAAACTCAAGGTTAACTGCACCAAACTTGATTGCAGGAAATATGACTTCAGCAACAGAGTGGTCAATGTCTGGAATACTTTACCCAACTCTGTAGTTTCTTCCTCAAACCCCAAAAACTTTAACCTTCGACTGACTACTATTGACCTCACCGCTTTCCTAAGAGGTCTCTAGGGGGCGTGCATAAGTGCACCAATGTGCCCTGTCCTATTGTTTCTTTTATTTTTCTTATATGTACCCATTTCATGTATTCATAACTATGTATACACTTATACTTATTATCTTGTAAACAATTGACAAATCAAATCAAATAAATAAATAAATAAATAAATAAATAAATAAATAAAACTTCTGTCATTATCACCGCTAATTCTGAATAGAATCTTACCTTGATTTTTAGATTTGGTTCAAGACTGATGTAAATAAAAGAATCAATTAACTTGAAGCGTAAATGAACTTTATCTGTAAAAAAAGGCATTGTTCTATTTTTGCATTTATTTTATATTAAAGGACACACAATCCCTAAGGTGAGATGCCCAGGAGAATATGAAAAGTTCCAGAAAAACACAGCTTCTTTCCTCATATTTTCACCACCCTTAAAGTGCAACAAACATGCCAAAAATGCTTCTCAAGAAAGCATCAAAATAATGCCTAAATAGCTGAGATTGAAAAATAAAATAAATGTGCTAAGCTTGTTGTAAACTTCACATGCATATTATCCTAAACATCTGAAATCAAAAATATAATTTAAAAACATGATGACATCATTGCTACATCAGGTGCAAAGCTTAGTTGCTGAAAAATGTAGAGAAAAATACTATATTTCCCAAATCACGAGAAGATAGATGCTTCCCCTATACATTTGGACATACTATCCTTAAACTGGGATCCAGATTCATTCCCTTAAATTATTGTAGTGCAAAGTGCAGCTTTCCAGTGTCACATTTCTGAAATCTCAGAAACAAGGTCAGTTATCCTTCCTCCTATATATAATCCCATCAGACTTAAAGAGACATTGCTGCATCAAAATAAAGCACTCAAAATCCTGTAGGAAAGAGAAGAAAGAGAGTATTTTGTGTTTCTTGCTATCATTTTTCACCCAGATTCAGGGTCTGGTTTTGGGGGGTGGGTTATTGGAGGGGTTTAATCAACAAAATGATGATCCATTGACTGTTTTAGAAATTGACTGACCAGTTTGTCACCAGACCAAGTAAAGACACTGAGGATTCACACAGGAGATCCACTGAGAAAATTGTAACAGTGTAGCTAAGCAAAAAACCACAGACCCACAATCAGTCTCATAAATTAGAATTTAATGAAAAATTCTTTATTATATTTCTTACAGATACTTTTAGATAAATTGTAACATAATGTTATCCTAAAATAACCAAAATTTTCATTTATTGGAGATCAAACCAGCTTTTTTAAAAAAAAATCATAATAAATTACACTAGTGCATCTTATTTTATTTTATTTTATACCATTTAGCAATTGCTCTTCTGTGGGCCTCTTTCACTTCCCTGTTCCGTAGGCTATATATCAGGGGATTAAACAAAGGGGTCAGGATTGTATAAAACAGGGACAACACTTTGTTAATGCTTTGCAGGCCATCTGATTTAGGCAAAACATAGACAATCATTAAGGTGCTATAGAAAATGGACACCACCATGAGATGTGAGGAGCAGGTTGAGAAACTCTTTTTCCTGCCACTGACAGATGACATTCTCATTATATTAAAAATAATGTAACTATATGACAACAAGGTTAAGAAAAAAGGAGGCAAGATGCATACAACAGATATCAAAATTGTGACAAGTTCAATCAAGCGGGTATCACTACATGCTAGCTTTATTATTGGATTCAATTCACAAAAGAAATGATTGATTTCACTGGGGCCACAGAATTTTAACTGACACATAAAATATAAAACTACGCCCATAACAAGTAAACCATTTATCCACGATCCAGCTATAAGCTGTAGGCAAACTTGATTGTTCATTAATATTGTGTAATGCAGTGGTTTACAGATTGCTACATACCTATCATAGGACATTGCTGCTAGGAGACAACATTCTGAAGATACAAAAAGACCAAAAAGATAATGTTGCATTATGCAGCCAGTGACAGAAATTGTTCTCCGCCCACCATACAAGACATTAGTCAGCATCATTGGAAGGATATCAGAACTGTAGCAGGCTTCCAGGCAAGAAAGATTACTCAGGAAGAAATACATGGGTGTTTGAAGATGAGGATCAGTAACAACCAGCAAAATGATGAGGATATTCCCAGCCATGGTAGCAATGTAGATAACTAAGAAAAAGCAGAAAAGTGGAACCTGCAGATTGCCAAGTCCTACAAATCCTACCAAATGGAATTCCATGATATCTGTTAAGTTTTTTTGTTCTCTTTTCTCCATATTTACCTAGCTCATACCTGTAAAGAGCATACAACATTCATTTTACATTTTCAAAGTGTTACCCATTCCCTACCATTTTATCTTATAAACAAAGGACACATTTGTAAAGCAGATGCCAAACAATAGATTCAGGATTGAGATGATTGTAAGTAATTTTTCCATGAAAAATTCCATAGCTATCAACTCCATAGCTATAAACCACAACTACTGTCCTATTTTTGAAGGCTTGAGCAGTAATTACTTGAAGACCAGATGATATTGTAAATAAGTAAGGAAAAGAATCTCTATTGTTTTAGGCATTTCTAAATAGTTCTTTGTGGAAGTTCCTAGATGCAAGCCTACATAATAGGTGATGGTATCTAAAATAATAACCATGGACATAGAGTATTTCACAGTTATTCTCCTTTGCAGATGCTTGAAATTTCAGCTAGAATAAGAAGTCACTAATTAGATCTCTTCATTTTATTCCTATTTTTACATAGATTTAAGAAGTATGGATGTATGTATGTGAAGATTGATAGATGTGTGAGAGAGAGAGGGAAGGAGGGAGAGGGAGAAGGGGAGAGAGTCAGACAGAAACAGAGACAGAGAGAGATGATGGATGCACAGATCTACTGCCATGACAGGGCATAATCAAAGATGGAACATCAAGCACCCAATATGTTTATATGGGAGAAGTCTGTCTGAATTTAGTGCAATTTAATTATAAAGTATTAATTAACCTTCATTCTGAAGGATGATTTATATAAAATATAAAGAAATTATGAAATATTAATTAACCTTCATTCTTCACACTTCATTCTGAGTGTGGACTAAGATCTTTTCTTCTGCATTAACTACAGCTATGATAGAATTAACTATTTCAATTCATGTATTGTGAAGTGATAAGTTAATTCCTGAATGTTTCTTCATTGTTTATATCAACTTTCCAAAAGCCAATTGCATATAAACTAAACAGTTTCTTCATCTGGGGTTCCTCTCTTTTGCTCCTTTTGCCTCAAAAATGAACCATTGAAAGACTTCTTAAAATCCAAAAAATTGGCATTTAATTGTGTTTCTGTATTGTGCCAGGCCAAAATGGCTTTTAGCATTCCAAGATAAGGCATAGTTCAAAACACCCACTGCTGCCACATTTTGTTTGTGTCATTGTAGTTTGATTGAAATGGGGAAAGAGAGTACTGTGAAAGTTTATTCTGTGAAAGTTTGTCACAGTTTTACTTCCTATTCTAAATAGGATAACTTACCTTTGAAGGCAGCTTTTCTTGTAGTGAGCAGATTTGTGGCTTCTATCACTATCAGTGCCAAAGTAAAAATAGTATTAAAAAGTATTTTGAACACCAGTAATCAACATCACTAAATCTGGCTGAGTAATTAATCTAAATCCTGGCTGCTCATTGTTTGTGCCAAACTGCATCAATGCATCATCCTTATTTGGTATTTATTTATAAAGCAGCATATAATCTCTAGTATACATAGCACATTTTCCTGAGGGAAAATAATACCTCTCTAAATGCCAGAACCCAGGAGAATTGTAGAATCCACAGAAAATCATGCTTTATTGAATGTATTGCACCAACTTAATAAAAGCTATTGTCACCATCTGAAGATAAACAAATATCTTTGAGAATCCTTTCATTTCTTCTGAATTAACTAATGTTATGAAATTAGATTCAGAAGAATCAATTTCCAGTTCTGCTTATTTTCCTAAGACTTTATCATATTGCCCCCCTAGTCCTTTGCTGAAATTTCTGGTCACTTTGCTGAATATATGAGCACAGGAAAATGTGCATTTGCACTCTGCTTCTCTCTAGTTATGCTCAATTTCCATGTGTGTTCCATGCTCACTTATCCTAATCACAACCTGCCAAATAAAATCCAATGACAGATTATCTCACATAATAACTATTCTATTTATCTTTTCACTTTTTCCTTATTCATATAGGAATGTAATCAAAGCATGAAACTTCATTCATTTCTGCTTAGTTAGAATATGGAATGTATATCATTTGTATTATCTAACTTCCTTTATTTTTATTAAATTAACTGACTTAAATGTTAAGAATTGAATTGTGTCTCATATATATTATGTAGGCCTTGTGGTTTTCTTTTTCTTTCCCTGTCTGAAGAAAATCTACCAAAGAAAACATCTAGGCTTTCTTCTGGAAATATACAGTAATCAGTAGTTATTCAATGGAGCAAAACTATATGTAGATGTCCACATTCCTTTTCACATTTTATATAGCAAGTCATAAATCTGTAAGCAGTAAGCTCCATTACATAGACACTGCTTCTAAAAAGCATTAAATCTTTCCCTTGGAAGGGATGGGGAGAGAGGGAAATGAATAGGTACTTTGTTATGGGTTTTCTGAAGGGATCTTCAGAACTAATAAAGTACATAGTATATCTGGTTTTAACGTATTTTCTTTTTTCTTCCGTCTCTTTGTTTTTTTCTCTCTTTTATACTTCTTTTTCTCCTTTTTCGGTCACAAGACCGAGCGTTTGTTTGTTTTTTTTTCCTCTCTCTTTCTCTTCTTTCTTTCTTCTTTTTCTCTCTCTGTTTCTTATGTAATGTTGTTATGTTATTTTTTTAATTGTAAATTCAATAAAATTTATATATATAGAAAAAGGAGAAATGTGGCTTCAAAATTATCTCCAATTTAAAATTTGGTGTAGAATTTTCTAGCAGCATCTCACTGGTTGGGTAATGGCTTCAGAAATATTTAATTACTAGATTCTTCCAAATCTCAGATAATTCCTGCTAGCTTCTCACAGGATCGAATAGAGCCAGGAAAGTTATTTTGTTGTTCCTTTTTAATATTCCTTTTTAATATTTTATTATTGCAATTTTAATATTGTAATTTAATAATGCATCACACATAGGAAAAAACAGCAGATATTCTAATGTATTTCCTTCACTGGAGAAAAATGTAAACATAAAAGGATATTCAGAGATGTGTCAGCTTGAAAATATCATTTATTTATTTATTTGTTTGTTTGTTTTACTAAACCATATAAAGCAAACATCAGGAAAATGTTTTATAACAATTATGTCTTGTATTATAAAATGCTTTATTGTACTTTATCCATAAAATGATGTATAAAATTTGCCAAATTTCAGAAACATGTGTATAAGGATTTCTGGATTTGGGGCACATTCTGTGTGTAAGCTCATTTGATTTAAAAAGTTTAAAGCCTTGGTTTAAAAAGTTTTGGCCTGTAATGCACAATTTCTAATTTATTTATTCCAATTTATTTTCATGCAGTGGCCGACTTTTTCCTTTTAGGCAGTGGAAATAATTTCAATATAGTGGCAAATATGGATATGTAGGTTATGAGAGAGAGATGAGCAGAAATGGATATCACTACCATCATCTGTACATGCGTAAAATAAATACATAATGACCAGAGAATGTGAGAGACCTTTTTATTTTAATTTAATTTTATTTTATTATTTATTTTACTTTTACAAACAATAGAATTCTAGAAAATTTCTAGGCAAGATAAAATGCCCAAAGAATGCTAAGAGTAACATATAAATAGGATATGAAGTTTCTTCAATTGTAACTAGTAAAATAATAAGAGGACCCGTAGCCATTTTAAGAATTTATATCATATATATCTCTGCTGATAGCATTTGATCCATTCAGCAAGAGTTACATGAGTGGCAGAAAATAATGAGGTGGAACATCATCCAGAAGCACTTTTATATGTAAGATATTATAGTACCTGCATAATGCGTCTCGGTTAGCTTTTTCATTAAATCATGAGAAGTTTTTTCCCAGGGTAAATTTCTTAGAAGTTTCTTCAAGGACATAAATTGGCTGGGAGGAAAGCCTTCCAGAAATGAAACTACAACTGCACAAACTGGACTCCAAGCAAATGGGGACTTCCAGCAACACAAAATACCACTTTATACCCTGAATTGTTCTTTGCAGAAATATTAATATGGGTAAAAATCTATCATTATTACTTTT